CACGCAGTTCAAACAGCAGTGCACAACATTAATAACTATGATTGGGAATGTTGTGTATATAACATTCTAATGAGAACATTATTATAATAAAACGTTGTGAATTCTTTGGGTTTAGTTGCCGTGTTTCAGCGCGTTGTTATGGGAAGAGCGCATCCACAACAGGATCACACATTCTGACTATAGCACGCAATAACTGCATCATTTTGTACATACTGTATATAAGTTGTAATATTATGTTTATGTTGTGTTAATATTAATCTCAGGATGCATTTCCTTGAGTTAAATAAGCTGCCAGCAAAACGCTTCAGTTTACCGTGTTCATTCAGCTCTTCAGCTTCAGCTTGAGCTGCAGCTCAATGGCTGCTATTTAAAACAGTGGTATTAATTTGTTACTTTTTCAAAATCATTGATATATTATTAATAACAACAACCACTTGTATTTTTCTCTTATTATTTTCATCAACAATATGGTTTAGTAATTAAAATCATTTAATTATTGTCCGTGCAGAGGCTATTCTGTTTTATTGATCTGTGGCGCATTCATTTTGATTCTTTACACGTGTAATGATGTCCAGTGACTTGTTTGCATTATTTATGCATTATTTTATTTATTTGTAAGACTTTTTTATGACTAAATTTGGTAATGGGAGAGTAAAAATATTTTTAAAATGTACACCGTTCAAACTAGGCTGCTTATGTTGAAGTGTTTGGGATGTGGCTTTTAATGATGAGACCTTTTTTGTAATCAGGTGCTCAAAAAGTATATAACAATTTGGATATAGATTTATCGGCCAACATATCGGTTATCGGCTTTCAAAAATAAAGAACAATCGGTTATCGGTATCGGCCAAAATTTTCATATCGGTGCATCCCTATTAAAAATATACACAGTACACACAGATATATTATGTAAATAAAAACTTTTATTTTAAATGCGATTAATCGTTTGACAGCACTAATATATATATATAGTTTTTGTTTATTTTAATTTTTTTAAAGGGAGAGATACGGTACCAAGGCTGCTGTAAAAGTCGGTGATCATTGTTGCAACGTATTATTTCCGATTATTAATGTACTGTTTGTGTTGACAGGATGCAGCGTTCAACAAAACAACACGGTCCTTACAGGATCTGCGGCAGAAAGAACTTGGTGTGAAGTCAGAATTCAGGTGAGCCATTCTATTGCTAGGCTTATTCAATTCAATTAATTCAATTCAAGTTTATTTGTTTAGCGCTTTTCACAATACAAATCGTTGCAAAGCAACTTTACAGCAAATTAAGTTTCTACAATATTTAGTGGTAGCTTATCAGTGGTGACTGTCAGTTAATGTACATATGACGGAAATGTCGGCTTATGTTTTTTTTCATTAGAGTTTGCTAAGCCAAATCACTATTACTATTGTTCATTATTTTTCAGTTATCCGAGAGCTGAAGAGTCACGTAGACTAGGATTGTGGGAAGGACCTGAATAGCATAGAGACATTCAAAGAATATCCAGAATATCATAGAGACATGCAAAATCACAGGGGAAAAAAAAAAAAATCATTACTTTGCAAAATGTTTGTTATGTAAATAGGTTAACGTTTTGAAAAAGAATAGAGACACTGCAAGAGTATTAAAGGATTTAGTGATCATTTGTCACTTCTCTCTTGCAGTATAAATATTCCTCGGGCTAAGTGGGAATTGACTCAACTGAACAGCTGTACGTCTCCCCAGCAGAAACTGCTCTGCATAAGGAAGGTTATTTTAACCGTCATGCATTCAACCAGACGTCGAGATACAGGTGCTGTGACCACAAACCTTCCTTTCTATCATTGTGTGTCTGTGTGTGCGTGTGAAGGTTTGTCTAAATTTCCTCTTTCTAACCGGACTGCTTCTGCATGGCTCCTGTAAACAGATTGGGCAGTGTACACTTAGTCCCGAACAGATAGTCCTCTGTGTCACCTCAGTCTTTAGTTTTCATGCAGCAGAGCCCTGGCAGAGCAATAGCACTTGCAGTATGTGTAAACTAGAGGAATGCTTTCCTAATGTCTGTTTGTCAAACAGCTTGTTAAGTCATTTTCCCAATTTAGCCGAAACAAGGCACTGAAGGCAGATAGAAAAACTGTGTAGGTCTGGCACAAGAGGTTCTGTCCATTTTTATGTTGTCCTGTGCTTGTTTTCTTCAGGTTTCGGTCATATGTTATAGCCTTGTGTACTCGCATTTGTTGGTAACATGTCTGAACATTAAACACAAATTATCAATACAATAATAATAATAATAGCCTTTATTATTACTATTGTTGTTGTTGTTATTATTCTTATCATTATTATTGTACGTTGTGGTATTGTTTGTTCTACTATATTTTATTAACGCAGAATTTAATTAAACTAATTATTTTATTAAGGGCTAATTATCATGATAGTAATGTAAACAATCTCTTTAATCGTAAAAAAAAATTAAAAATAGGCTTAATTTCTTCACACAAAAATAAATAGTGAGAGATTCACCCATACAGCCTGGTCCATAATGAAACCTATTCTAGCCAAAAATGGCAGTTTGCACAGATTATGTTTTATTTATTTTCAAGACTGTTCTAACTTTTAATTGTTACCCATACAGCGTGCAACTAAATTGTTAGATTATTAAATTAATAAAGTATTAGTGTCCTTCATTAATTGAACTGAAACTAAAAAAAAAAAAAAATGTATGTAGTCTTTTTGGTTAGAACTGCAATCTGTAAATTATATACAGTTGTGATCAATTATATGTTGTTTACTTGCTACTACAAAATTCTGAATAAACTGAAGATGAAAATCGTTCACATTTTGCCAAACCCAGCATCTAGTTCTTCCTATGAAGCACTCGTATCAGTTTGATGGACCGAACGCTCAAATTGGCAGTTTTGAAAAGCTCTTGTGATTTGTGTGTGCGGTATGTGTCAGCTCATCACAGTGATTAAACCGTGCGTGTCTCTTTCAGCAGTGAGCATTGAGGCAGTGTGTGCTGATGATCTCCTGTTAGTCATTCTCTATCTGCTAATCAAAACAGAAATTCCTAACTGGTGAGCCGAGTGCTGAATTCTCTGCATCACACTTTCAAGAACCGTGATTTATTAATTGAATGTCTTTAACAGTCACACAAGAGTGCAGGAGAATGTTATTCTGGTGTTTTCTTCAGGATGGCGAATCTGAGTTACATAAAGAACTTCCGCTTCCCTAAGTCCAGTAAGGATGAGCTGAGTTACTGTCTCACCTCGTTTGAGGCTGCGGTGGAGTACATCAGCCAGGGAAACCTCACCCAGAGCGCTCTGGTAAGCTACGGCAGCGGTAAGAATGGTTGAGACAATCACGTTTTGGTTCAGGTCCTAGTAGTGATGATAATCCAACAACTAGTGGACTGAATCCTCCTCAAAAAAACGCAATAAGTGGGTAAAGGAACATTTCACTCAAAAATGGCAAAAGAGAGCTTTAGCAGAATGTGCACGCTGCTCCTTTCCATATAATGCAAGTAGGGCTGCCCGATTTACCGGTAGACACAATAAACCAGTAGATATTTGTCAATCTATAGAGATTTTGGATTATTGTCTCAATCACAGTTGAGCTCCGTGTGAAGTTATAGCTCCACACCCTCACGAAAGTTTATCATTTACTTGCGTGTTTACAACAAACAATTTTAAACCATTCAAGTTCAATAAGCTGCAAAAAAGGACTCAAAAATAACTCAATTCGGCATCGTCTGAGAGACAGTTTCTGTGCGCGCACACACACATAATGCTGCCGGACACCATGTGCGTAAGTGAAAAAATGAGTCCTTACACGATTTACTGCACTTAAACTAGGGCTGAACGATTAATTGCATTTGCGATAATATCGCGATATGAAAAAAACACGATTTTTCAACCGCAGAGGCTGCGATTACACTCGGTCACGTGACACGCGAGAGTAAAGAGGTGTGTTCGACTTGAAGATCGTCGGTGTGTGTCATCAAAATACGGCGAGAGAAAGCATAAGGAGACGTCCACGCTCTCTAATAGCTCTCGCAGTACTTTGATGACACACACCCATCGGTCTACTCTAAGCAGCGCTGCTTCAAGTCGAACACATCTAAACAGTCTTCAGAGGAAGCATCAAGTTGGCACGCTACAGTGTTGTAATATTATCACCAGTATTATATTATGCCTTATTTAGCCTTGTGGACAATTCTTGGTCCAGACATTATTTTATTTTATTTTATCAATACCATAATATAAATTATTTTACTCATCACTACAATAATAATAATAAGAAGAAGAATTGTTGTACTGTATTTTATTTATGCAGAATTAAATTGAACCTAATAATTTTATTAAGGGCTAATTGTCATGATAGTAATGTAAACAATCTCTTTATTCCTGAAAAAGGCTCATCTTCTTTACAGAAAATAAATACATAAATTGTGAGAGATTCACCCATAGAGATAAAACCAAAAATGGCTACTTGCACAGGATTTATTTATTTGATCGTTCATTCATTCATTTGTTTATTTGCTTGTTTGTTTTCACTTTGTTTTATTGTTTAAACATTTAGTGTGCAACAACATTTTTAGAATTGTTAGATGCTCAAACAATAAAGTATTAGTGTCCTTCATTAATTAAAATAAAACAATTGAAAAAAGCAGTCTTTTTGGTTAGAATTGCAATCTGTTATTCATTTATTCTGAAGCAGAATATACAGCGCAGTTGTGCTTAATCGCATGTTGTTTACATGCTGCTACAAAACTTTGAATAAACTGAAGATGAAAATCTTGCACATTTCCCCAAACCCAGTATCTATTTCTTCCTGTGAAGCGCTCACTGTAGCATTGTAGTTTGGTGGACTGAACACTCAGATTAACAGTTTATGAAAAGCTCTAGTGATTGGTGTGTGCATTATGTATCAGACACTCAGCTCATCACAGTGATGTGTCTCTTTCAGCAGTGAGCATTGAGGCAGTGTGTGCTGATGATCTCCTGTTAGTCATTCTCTATCTGCTAATCAAAACAGAAATCCCTAACTGGTGAGTCGAGTGCTGTGTTTTCTGCGGCACAGTTACAAGAGCAGTGATTTATTAATTAAATATCTTTAACAGTCTGTTGAGAGCTTCATTGTGCATGCAGAATGCTAATATCCTGATGTTTTCTTCAGGATGGCCAATCTGAGTTACATAAAGAACTTCCGCTTCCCTAAGTCCAGTAAGGATGAGCTGAGTTACTGTCTCACCTCGTTTGAGGCTGCGGTGGAGTACATCAGCCAGGGAAACCTCACCCAGAGCGCTCTGGTAAGCTACGGCAGCGGTAAGAATGGTTGAGACAATCACGTTTTGGTTCAGGTCCTAGTAGTGATGATAATCCAACAACTAGTGGACTGAATCCTCCTCAAAAAAAACGCAATAAGTGGGTAAAGGAACATTTCACTCAAAAATGGCAAAAGAGAGCTTTAGCAGAATGTGCACGCTGCTCCTTTCCATATAATGCAAGTAGGGCTGCCCGATTTACCGGTAGACACAATAAACCAGTAGATATTTGTCAATCTATAGAGATTTTGGATTATTGTCTCAATCACAGTTGAGCTCCGTGTGAAGTTATAGCTCCACACCCTCACGAAAGTTTATCATTTACTTGCGTGTTTACAACAAACAATTTTAAACCATTCAAGTTCAATAAGCTGCAAAAAAGGACTCAAAAATAACTCAATTCGGCATCGTCTGAGAGACAGTTTCTGTGCGCGCACACACACATAATGCTGCCGGACACCATGTGCGTAAGTGAAAAAATGAGTCCTTACACGATTTACTGCACTTAAACTAGGGCTGAACGATTAATTGCATTTGCGATAATATCGCGATATGAAAAAAACACGATTTTTCAACCGCAGAGGCTGCGATTACACTCGGTCACGTGACACGCGAGAGTAAAGAGGTGTGTTCGACTTGAAGATCGTCGGTGTGTGTCATCAAAATACGGCGAGAGAAAGCATAAGGAGACGTCCACGCTCTCTAATAGCTCTCGCAGTACTTTGATTTCACACACCCATCGGTCTACTCTAAGCAGCGCTGCTTCAAGTCGAACACATCTAAACAGTCTTCAGAGGAAGCATCAAGTTGGCACGCTACAGTGTTGCCAAGTCCGCGGTTTGGGGAACCCCGTGTATTTTACCCCCTGGAACGTGATTTTTGAGTAGCAATTGGGGGGGTTTTGTTGTGAAAACCTGGCAACCCTGGCACGCTACACGTGGAAATGTTTGAAAGCGTATATTATGAACGTACTTCAAAACGGCACATTGAAGCAGTAACCGTGTTACGGTGCATTTCATTACTGATATATATATATATATATATATATATATATATTCTTATTTATTTATTTAAAGTCTGTCTAAGTTAACAGACAGTGTTTAAAAAGTGCAGTCCACATGTTTACATATGTAGTTAAATGTTTACATTAAAGTAGTGTGGTAAAGCAACAGATTTGTTTTTATATTTCTGCAATCTGCTTTAGTTTGTGTGATTTGTTACTGACTTTCATATTAATGTTTACACCAGGCTTATTTGTCAGTGTTGTCATAATTATTACATGCTTACAAGGTTGGAAGTTCAACAAATCAGTCAATATACTGTGATTGTAGTTGTTAAATAAAAATATCATTCGTATCAATTCATGCATCACCTAATTTCATCGTAACATATAGGCCTGGCCTACAGAAAAGAACATTTAAGTTTAATCTATCTAATATCGTGTTAGTCATACTATAGAATGATTTATAGCTTGTCTTTGTTGAATAATACAGAACATAAAGAGCTTTAAAAAATAATTGTATATTAAATCGCAATATTGGTAAAAAAAAAAAAAAAATTTGCAATTAGATTATTTTCCAAAATCGTTCAGCCCTAACTTAAACTGTCAAATATAAACAAAAATGATAAATTATGAGACTCCTCATATCCTTGAAATCCAAATTTCCAACAGGAATCCACATGATCAGGGAGTTCTCCACACGGATGTTGATCATTCACTACTCTTGACTGAATAACTTTTGGAAATTTAATAAAGATTAATCTGGATACTTAATTTATACAGTGAAGGCTATGCAGTTTTTTTTTCTTCATTCAGTTTCTGTAGCCTTTCTTTTTTTCTCATAGATGTACATGAAAAACTTAAACTCTTTTTGTTCTATTGTATTTATTTGTCCTGTTGTAATTTGTTTGTTTCTATTTTTTACTGTTTACTTGTATTCAATAAACTTGAGATTTTGTAAAATATATTATCTAGGCTAGTATTATTTTTTTGCAATGATATCGGAACTGGTGTGGAGAATTATGAAAATTTCAATAGTATCAAAATGTTTTATATCTACCTTACTTCAAACAAAAATGACTATATAGTGATATATATAACTTTCTCAAAAATTGCCCTTGCAAAATTTTATCGGGTGCTGGTGGTGGTTGTCAGGGCTTTGCTATAAGGTATTTTTTTAAACATCTGTGCGGTTGCCAGGGTGTACTGGCTGGTTGCTAATGTGTTACTACATGGCTGTTAACTGGTCCAAGTCAAAAGAGCCTCTGTGATAGTCTGGTGTTTATGACCCTCCTTTATGCAACTCCTTTTTGCTAACCTTAGCAAACACCACTGATAAGAATAGTGCAGAGTAAAACTGATAACAAATACATCTTCAACTCACTGAAAAGTGTATTAATTTGCTAAATAATGAGAGTACTTGTGCTTTGTCGATGAGCTGTCTGATATTGATCGTAACGGAAAACGCTTGAGCAGCCTTCTGTACTGTGCATTGCTACCTCCTTGGGTGAATGTGACTTCTTTTATCAAATGACTTGGAATCATACATTTTCTTTGCTGAAACATTCTTTGAAAACCCTGTTTAAAGGTATATATATATATATATATATATATATATATATATATATGTATATGTGGTCATAAGAAAAATCTTTAATCTTACATGTCTCAGTGTTTTAGTTTAGTTACATGCATTTAGGATTGTGGGAACTAACCACATATTAACACCTCCCATAGCTGCATGTCTTGTCTATAAATGTGCGCTGTGGTCCACAGGGGTCAGGAGATAGACTGTCCTTCAGACAGAAGGTGGACCTGCTGTCCCAGAATGCTACACCTATAGACCGGCTGTTTGAGGTGAGCACCTTTGGCTGTTTGTGTAGCTAGTTTCAACTTTACTGCCCAAGTAAAGAAATATAAGAAATATCACATTTAGTGCTCATAGTAAGAGCTTTACTCGAAAACAAACAATTGTATCTCATAATTGATGACAGACATTATACAAATAAAAATCTGATTTATTCAACAAGTCAGGCAGACTTATTTTTGACTTAGAACCGGAATTAAAACCTTACAGTAGTTAAGACAAACACCAAGACAAAATTGTCTCAAAATTGGTTATTGATTTAATAAATATATGATTTATGAGACCATTTGCAGTGTTGAATTAGTTCAATTGACACTTAAGTGTGTCTGTCTGTGTGTCTGTGCATGTGTGTGTGTGTCTCTGTGTATGTGTGTTTGTCTGTGTGTTTGTCTGTGTGTGTGTGTGTGTGTGTGTGTTTGTCTGTCTGTGTGTGTGTGTGTGTGTGTGGCCAGCACATTGTGAGAGGAAATGAGGCCGAGGTGAAGCGTTTGCTGAGCAATAGTGAGAATGAGGAGGACGGGAGGAAGTTATGTCACCCACTCTGTTCCTGTGACACCTGTGACCGCCACATCTCAGGGTCAGTGCTGACGAACATCATGCATATCATCCACACAATAAATGCAGAGGAGCTTTTGAAGTGATCTGGGTCCCACTTTATATTAGGTGTCTTTAAATACTGTGCGCTTGATAATAAAATAATGAATTTTTAGCTACAGTGTACCTATTGTGTTTGTAAAAAAATTGCAAAACACTTGCTGCTATTGAGAGTGGATACGATTAAGAGTAGGGACAGGTTTGGTGGTCTTGTTGGGTTTAAGGGGTAGAGGTAGGGTCAACAGTGTAATTATAGATACAGAAATTAATTACAGATGTAATTACAGGACTGTATTTTCAAATATTAATACAATCTAAAAACATGTATGTACACAATAAGTGCATTTTGTCAAATGATTAATTTAGATGCAAGTACATATTAGTAAAGGACATTTAATATAAAGTGAGTCCGTGATCTGAAATTTTGCATTAATTACTTTTAGACAGCACTTAGCTGTTCTTCATTCAAGTCATTTTATTAAATAAATAAAATACTTTAAATTGTATTAAATAAAGATCTAAAGACTTTCATTGGCTCATGCAATGGCTGTATTGTATAATCATTGATTGATTTTTCTTTATTTTATTCTTTATCACAACTTTATGTCTTTAACTTTATCAAATTCAGTTTGATACAGTAATAGCAACAGTGTATTGGGCTGATGACCACCGCAAAGTGAACATATTAGAAAGTATGCAGTTTGAATGTAGGCCTGCTTTTCTCATTAATTATTAAAGTGTTGCTTTGCTTGTCTTTCTTGGCACTTTCTTGGTTTAGTAGGTTAAACGACCCGTCCATAGTGACTCCGTTCTCTCGGGATGACAGAGGCTATACTCCTCTACATGTTGCTGCTGTTTGTGGTGAGCATTGACCTAATTTTGCTTTGTTTTTGTTTGTTTTTGCTTGTGTGTTTTGTTTGTTTTTATTTGGTTTTGTTTTGTTTTGCTTAGGGATGCACCGATACCACTTTTTCCAGCACTCGCCCGATACCGATACTTTTATTTTTTTTGTGTGCTTGCCGATACAGAGTACAGTTACCAATATTTTCATTGCTGTAGCGAATCAGCTCACGGGGAAATATGAATAATTAATCATAACTAGTTAAAATTAATTATAAATATTTAGATCCGCTGTAAGTATTTACTTGACCTCTCAGGGTCAACTGTCTGTCAATTCTAAGAACGTTAATTTCCTGGTTAAGGGAAATAACTTTCTTACTGTACAATTCTACACAGAGCCTGTAGCATAAATCTGCATGATTAAGTGACTCCAGTTATGAGCAAACAATGAACAACGTCAAGTGTGATACAAGTAAGACTTTATTAACTACATAAACACTTAAACTAGTCCAACATACTACATAAACACTTAAACTAGTCTAACATACACATGCACATGTAGCAGATCTGACATGCATGCAGTTGGTATAGGAAAATGGTTAAAGCTTAAGCAGTAAAAAGGAGAGAAATAAAGAATGAAGTTATGGAACCATTTGATATTTAGCAGATTTATAGCCTGAAGGAAACATCAGATTCTTAGTTCAAACACACCTTTGTAAAAAGGTGCGAAGGATACCTAATGTATCAATTAATAAGACTAAGTTTCATACTTGCACGTCTTGTCTGTCTGACAGAGATTCCTGATGCAATCTGAAGGCTCAAGTTGATGTTTGCTGAAGTTGGTTGATGGAAAAGAACCAGTTTGAGTCAGATTATCTTGGTGAATGGAAAGTCAAGGCCCGAGGCCTGGCACAAAACTTAGGGTGTCTTGGAGCATTGTAGCTCACATTTTCATCTTCTCAAAATTCAACCAAATCATAGACTGATAGGCGGGTCACTGGTGTGAGGCCTTTAAGGCCTGACAAGATTCACGCCTCTCAGGATGAGCTTGTCCAATGAGAAAGGCTGAAATCCCAAGCGGGAGTTTGGAAATACTGGGGAGTTTTATGACCCCTTGTGTGAAAGCATGGTAGTTTGCATATGGAACTTGAATCGAAATTACTAAAGACTCTCAGGACACTAATATATTGCCTATGTACCAACATATAATATACACGCTCGTTTAGATCATCAGAAGACTAATTCATAGATACTAAACATGGTAGGATTACATATAGGTAAGATGACAGGAACGAGTGGTACCATCATAAGCCTACATAAAACAGTATAAAATATCAAAGACAACATACATAATGACCTGAAGGATATTTGTGTTTATTCACAGAAAGGTTTTTCTATGAATTAATTAGAGAATAGTCCATTTTTGGGCATTGTGTGTCTTTCCTACGGGTAAATGAGGCGTGAGTCTCTCTGCTTGCATTCCTTTGAGCAATAAAACCAGTGCTATCAGCCTTGGTTGCCATGGAACCTGGTGTCTTTCTGAGGTGTTAAGACGCTTTTCGGGGGAAGGGTCCATAGGTCCTCATATGGCTTGTTAACTGAGGGGTGTTACAGAGTATTTGTTAAATATAGCTAACAAAATATATATTGTGTGTTTGATTGGTCCAGACGCTACATTGCATTTGTAAATTTTTTAAATATTGGGTACAGAAACCAAAAGAGTATGTATAATATTAGTTGGTTAACTTCATTTATCAAATAGATAGTCAAACCAAAATGTATTCAGACACCTTCAACATTTCTCACATTATTACAGTTTATTCGCTATAGTTTAGAAAATGTTAATAAAATATGACAAGAACTCAGAGTTAAACTGTTGAAATCTTGATAATGTCAGATAACTTTGATAGAAAGGTATGTAATGGATTACAATAAACCAAAAATTATTCATACAGCTGTCAATATTTACACAACTATCAATACTTAGTCGGGCAACCCTTAGCCTTAATGGCAGCATATAGTCTCCTGGGCATGCTGTCGCCCAGCTTCACGCAAACCTGAACTTCAGTTTTTGCCCAGACTCGGTCTGAATAATTTTTGGTCCCAAATTTGTATAAATTTTACTGGTAGTCCACTGTATAAAGAATTTTTGGGTATAATATATCACAGTTTAGGTGTCCTACACCCACTAGTAAAGAAATATAAAAAATTATACCTGGTCTCTGAATAATTTTGGGTTTCACCGTGTATCCTTCTGTTATTTTCACACTTAATCATGCCCATTCAAATGTATTTTACAAGTTTTTGTTACTTTCACTGTTCATTTTTTTCTCTCTCTATGGTAGCCTACATCATCTTTAATTTAATAGCATTAGAGCTGCTCCATTGCAGTGGCTTAGTACTGTAATCATGCGATTTGCTGTAAAGATGCAGGGAACCACTCGTTATAAATCTCCTAACTGTGATATTTTCATAAATAGAAGTCGCGTTTTTTTTCATCTGAAACGTGCAGCGATTTCTTTTCCAAAGCCACTCGTATTATGCAGAAACACTCATGAAACAAGCAAAACACACGCAACGCGTGCACGTATTTGTACTGGTGCAGAATGAGAGGGACATGTAGTACAGCGCGTTTCACACAGGCTGTTAGTTTCCTCTCTCTCTCTCTCTCTCTCTCTCTCTCTCTCCCTTCCTCCCTACCATGAAGTAACTTGTGCATTGTTTTACTTACTACTTTTTGACATATCTGACCGAACTACAAACTTTCACTCAACAAGCTCGCGTATCTGCGCCGCCGCGCGCTCAATCCACTTACCAGCTGGCGCAAATCAGCTATACAGGCATTAATACTGAATGTTTTATATTCATTGCATACATATACTTCGTAGACGTCTTTAATCTCTAATAACTCCATTCTGCTGTCTGTTGTTCTGTTGTCGGTGTTTCTTTGTCTGAATATGGCACTTATCACATGCTGTGTGGTATCGGCGTTTGGTATCGGGGCATTTTAACAAGTACGAGTACAGGAGCTCAGTATCGGGCCCGATACCGGTGCATCCCTAGTTTTGCTTTACTGTTTTTGTTTGGTTTATGTTTGTTTTTTGTTTTGCTTTGTGTGATTTGTTTTGTTTATTTACCTTTTTTGTTTGTTCGTTTGTTTACATATATCTGGTATTTTATGTGTTAGATTGTGTTGAATTTTTGTCATTTTTATTTGAAATGCTACCATGTGACTCTGTAGCTTTCACACCGAGTTGACAAATAAATGTTGTGACTTGTTTCCCTGTGTTGTGCTTCTGATCAGGTCAGTCCCTGCTGATTGATTTGCTGGTTTCAAAGGGAGCTGTGGTGAACGCCACCGATTATCACGCGCTCACACCGCTGCACCTCTCCTGCCAGAAGGGCTTCCAGGGCGTCACGGTCAGAACTTCAACTTGCTCGTGTTAATGGAAATTCGTAGCTGTAATGAACAGAGTTGCAAATCTGTGCGGCTAGTTCCTAGCATCCAACATTAGTTCAGTCTGTGCAATTTCTTCTCGCATATTGAAAATTAATCTCGCCATGTTTCATAAAACTCCTGCACATTGTCGCTTGTTTGTTGTTTCGTTGATCTTCCTGTTTGCTCTTATAGCTGCTGCTCTTGCATTATAAGGCAAACACAGATGCTCAGGATAACAATGGAAACACCCCTTTACACCTGGCCTGCATGTACGGACACGAAGATGTAAGGCATTCATTAATTATCTATCTATCTGTCTGTCTGTCTATCTATCATCTGTCTGTCTGTCTATCTATCATCTGTCTGTCTATCTATTTATATATCATCTGTCTGTCTGTCTGTCTGTCTGTCTGTCTGTCTATCTATACCATCTGTCTGTCTGTCTGTCTATCATCTGTCTGTCTGTCTGTCTGTCTGTCTGTCTATCTATCTACCGTCTGTCTGTCTGTCTATCTATCTACCGTCTGTCTGTCTATCAGTCTGTCTATTTATCATCTGTCTGTCTGTCTGTCTGTCTATCTATCTATCGTCTGTCTGTCTGTCTGTCTATCTACCGTCTGTCTGTCTATCGTCTGTCTGTCTGTCTGTCTGTCTGTCTGTCTATCTATCTACCGTCTGTCTGTCTGTCTATCTATCTACCGTCTGTCTGTCTATCAGTCTGTCTATTTATCATCTGTCTGTCTGTCTGTCTGTCTATCTATCTACCGTCTGTCTGTCTATCGTCTGTCTGTCTATCTATCGTCTGTCTGTCTGTCTGTCTATATCATCTGTCTATTGTCTGTCTGTCTATCGTCTGTCTGTCTGTCTGTTTGTCTGTCTGTCTGTCTGTCTATCATCTGTCTGTCTGTCGTCTGTCTATCTATCTATCATCTGTCTGTCTGTCTGTCTATCTATCTACCGTCTGTCTGTCTGTCTATCTATCGTCTGTCTGTCTATCTATCTATCTATCATCTGTCTGTCTGTCTATCTATCTTCCATCTGTCTGTCTGTCTATCGTCTGTCTGTCTGTCTGTCTGTCTATCTATCTTCCGTCTGTCTGTCTGTCTGTCTGTCTGTCTGTCTGTCTGTCTGTCTATCTATCTATCATCTGTCTGTCTGTCTTTATGACACACATTAAACTGTGCCTAAGCTGTTTGACTAGCATCATTATTGAATGTTTAATTTACAAATGGGTTATTATTTTGCTTCTTAAATATTGTGTTTCTGTGATGGAGTGTGGTGGTGTGTGTAATGCCGATATTTCGTTCTTGATGTGAATGTGTGTCTCAGTGTGTGAAGGCACTGCTGTACTTCGACCTGCACTCCTGTCGACTGAACGTTCAGAACGATAAGGGAGACACACCGCTGCACATCGCCGCTCGCTGGGGTTACGAGGGCATCATGGAGGTGCTCCTGGAGAACGGAGCTTCAACCCTCATCCACAACAAAGCCAAGGAGACTCCCTTACACTGTGCGCTCAACTCCAAGGTTCGAGTTATGTGCAGACTGGATTCTGTGCCTCGATTTTTAACAGCATCTCACACCTACAAACATAGAGCAAACGGTTTGTTTTAATATCAGCAGAAAAGCATTTTGTAGATGATGTTGTATTATGTGTGTTGTAGATTCTGTCATTGTTGGAGTGCAGACACAATGACTCCAGTAAAAGGGAAAGTGGATTCGAGGTGAGGTTCAAATGTCTAACAAAGTTTGTTTGTGCAAGCTGGATTTGTTTCTCTAAATCAGTATTTTTTGTAATTCTTTTTGTATTACTTTTTCTGCCAAACACCTTAGATGTAAAATGTTTGCTTAAAGTTAATATTTGAATAATTTAATGACACATTCGCATGTTCAAGGTTCTCTCATGTCATTTAATCATAAATTGTGATAGTGTCTAAGTTCACATTACAGTCACACTGGTGTTGTAGAAACCTGACCAAATTTAATAATAATAATAATAATAATAATAATAATATTTAATGCACAATACTTAGCTTCACTCTGAAACAAAAGGGAAAGTGGATTCGAGGTGAGGTTCAAATGTCTAACAAAGTTTGTTTGTGCAAGCTGGATTTGTTTCTCTAAATCAGTATTTTTTGTAATTCTTTTTGTATTACTTTTTCTGCCAAACACCTTAGATGTAAAATGTTTGCTTAAAGTTAATATTTGAATAATTTAATGACACATTCGCATGTTCAAGGTTCTCTCATGTCATTTAATCATAAATTGTGATAGTGTCTAAGTTCACATTACAGTCACACTGGTGTTGTAGAAACCTGACCAAATTTAATAATAATAATAATAATAATAATAATAATATTTAATGCACAATACTTAGCTTCACTCTGAAACACAGTTTTTTTTTTTTATTAAAACACAACCTTTTATTTAATAATTGCCTTAAGCTGTATCGCAATTATCATGCAGCCCCATTTATATATTTTAATGTTACATCTGATATAATGATTAAATTGTCATCAAGTGTGAACCCGTGTTTGGGAAACCCTGCTCTAGATGCTCATCTGTGTCTCAACCGATGAACCCATTCTGACAAGTTGCAAAACATCTTGAGCAACAGAGAATAACGAATACTTCTGCTGGATGATTGTGTGCTGACCTGGAGAATCTTTACAGAGGAAGTATTTTAGCAGCAGACCTTTTGATAGACTTTAGTCTCCATTTCTAACCTCCACTGAATTTCTCTGATTGTTCAGTCTCCGAGTCGCTCTCCTCAGCCGTCTTACTGCAGCAGTAGACGTTCATCTATGTCCAGCGCGTCTTCATTGAGTGTTGAGGCCACACCGCCGGAGACCGAACGCATCCGACACAAAGAGGTACGGCAGTGCCATCTGAAGGACAGACCATAGCGTTACAAGACAAGATGAGATCAGAGAAAGCCCTTGTTCGTCCTCCGAGTGAAATTAAGCAGCAAAACATACTGCAAATGCTAAGTTAATTATGTAAAAATTATGTAAATCTCACTACACAAATGTAATATCAAAAACATTTTCGTTATATGTTTGAACTCTTATTGTAAAAGACAATTAAAATTGTACTGTAAAAAAACAACAACAACAATATTTGATAATTATAATAATGTATTTTGTACTACAGGTTACAATACCAATATTTATGTCTTAATTTTTTTTACTTTCGAACTTTCTGGCTTTAATATTTCAAACCTTCAAACTTTTATTGTGGCGAAATACTGGTGAAATGCTGTAAACGAGGGAAATTTAGCACCAAAAATGACTGAAAAAAGTACGTTGATTATGTGAAAATGATGTAAAATCAGTACTTGATCAGTGTTAGAGACAGTAAGTTTTTTTATGGGAATTTGACTGTTAAAAATATCATATATCATCACTTACTAATTACTGAGAATGTTGTTTTGTTTGTTTTTTTACTTGTGGAACCCTGCTATTATGTTTTCTCTTTCCTGTGTTTGGTGAACAGGTGGAGAAGTTGTTGAGAGCCGTGGCTGATGGGGATGTACAGATGGTGAGCTGATTTCGGGTCACATAAAACCTTCCTAAAGAGGATTCTGTCATGCTTTAATCTTGCTTTAATAATAATAATAATAATAATAATAGTTCACCACAGAATGACAGGTGTGTCTGTGTGTGTGTGTGTGTGTGTGTGTGTCTGTCTGTCTGTCTGTGTCTATGTCTGTCTGTGTGTTTGTGTGTGTGTGTGTGTGTGTGTGTGTGTGTGTATCTGTCTGTGTCTGTCTGTTTTTGTGTATGTGTCTGTGTGTTAGGTGCGTTATCTTTTGGATTGGCTGGATGAGGAGCCAGAGGAAGAGGATGTTTCAGTGCCAGTTCAGACAGAGCTGTGTCATCCTCTGTGTCAGTGTCGCAGCTGTGAACCTGCACAGAAGGTCTGAACACACTCATTTACCTGAAGGGCTTTTTGTTTGTTTGCTTGTTTGTTTAAAGAGTACAATTTGCTGTTTATGCAAATTAATAATTATAAATCATTAATAAATCAAAACAATGGCCTTCAAGCATTTGTTTTTGTTTTTCAGTTAAGTAAACAATGTTTCAAAAAGTAAAGAGTCAGTAATAAAATGTAGAACACATTTTAATTATTAATGGCACAAAAGTGTTCTTGTGTTTTTTGTTTGTTTGTTTGTTTTGTATTTTTGTGATTTCAAATAAATCCCAGCGGTTACACATTTTATTTAGTTTGTTAGTTAGTAAGTAGATGCTAAATTAAGCTCTTAACAAAGTTAATGTAATAGAAGAATGTTAATTTCTGATATAATCTGCAAAAGTGGGTTTCAAATTCAAGATGAATTAAAAAACTAAATGTATGACTTCGGTAACTTTGAGTCTGTGTGTGTTCAGAAAAGCGCTCATCTGCAGCCGGATGGTGTGGGTGTGAACAGCAGAAGTGCTGACGGCTTCAGTCCGCTCCACGTGGCAGCGCTGCACGGACACACAGCTCTGGTGTCTCTCTTCACCCGCCATGCTGCCAACATCAACACCCGCAGCAATCAGAGCGCCACGCCGCTTCACCTGGCCTGCCAGAACAGCCACATACAGGTGCGCAGATCTCGACCAATCACAGCTCTCCTCTCACAACAACATCACTGCTTTGAAGCCAGTGTTTAACCAGTAGCTAAACTATTTTACTGATAAAATCGTCAGAGTAGCGCTAACAACATTAGCACGTGTGTGTTTCTGTGTGTGCAAGTGTCTGTATTGTGTGTGTGTGTGTGTGCGTCTGTAAGGGAGAGAGAGCAGGAGAAATAGTATGTGCTTTCTGAACATAATAAACCGCTTCAGATTCAAGCATTCAACAGCCCTGCAGTATAATATATATCAACATATTGTGCAATTTCATTTATATACATACACTCTTCAGTGTCAGTAAGATTTTTGAAAAATGTATATATTTATTGAGCAAGGATGCATTTAAATGATGACAGTAAAGACATATAATGTTGCAAACGATTTCAAATAAATGCTGTTCTTTTGATCCTTTTATTAATCAAAGAATCCTGATTATTTTAAAGACCAAAATCTGTTTAAGCATTTACTAATATAATAGTAAATAACCCCAAAATTCTGTCATCATATACTCACCCTGTTTTTCAAAAAAAAAAATATTATTATTTTTTTTTAATTATAAATTATAAAAAGAGGAATTGGGTTGTAAAGCTTCAAAAAGGATGTAAAAGTATCATAAAATAGGTCTGTATTACTCATGTTTTAAAGAGTGACCAGGATATTTTCAAAAATTCACATTTTGTGAATGCAGAACATGAGTAAGATTTTTCATTTTGTGGTTGAACTGTTTCTTTTAAACATCTGTAGTTTGTGTGTGTGTGTGTGTGTTACAGGTGGTGTCTGCTTTGTTGGAGTGTAATGCCAAACTGAACAAGAAAGATCAGTATGGAAACACACCGCTGATTCTTGCTTGTCTAAAGGGAAATCTGGAGATAGCCACCATTTTGCTGGAGGTACTATATTACATTTATATAGGTTTTTAAAATCTATATATTAATTTTAACACTATATTTCATACTATGGTATATTTTCAATAATATGGTTTAATATACAGAAATATAATACAGTAATCAAACAATACAGTAATCTTGCAAAATGTTATTACAATATAAAATAATGGTTTCTATTTTAATATCCTTTAAAATATAATTTATTTCTGTGATGCAAAGCTGAATTTCCAGCATCATTACTCCAGTCTGAAGTGTGTCACATGATCCTTCAGAAATCATTCTAATATACTGATTATTATTAGAATTATTAATGTTGGCAACAGTTGTGCTGCCAAATATTTTTTTGGAAACTGCGATACTTTTTTCAGGATTCTTTGATGAATAAAAAGTAAAAAAAGAACAGCATATAAATCTTTGCTATCACTTCTTAACAATTTAACACATCCTTGCTGAATAAAAGTTTTCATTTCTTTCCAAAAAATAAAAATTTACTGACCCCAAACTTTTGAACGGTAGTGTATATTGTTAGAAAATATTTATATTTTAAATAAATGCTCTTCTAGCTTTTTATTCATCGAAGAATCCTGAAAAAAGTGTCACAGGTTCCAAGAAAATATGAAGCAGCACAACAGTTTCCAGCTCTGATAATAAATCAGCATATTAGAATGATTTCTGAAGAAATCATTACATTTGCAGCCAATGAGCTTGCTGCTTTACAATTAAATGGCTGATTAGCATTCGCTTGAGCATTGCAGCGTGCTTTCAGTGCCTCAAGTAAAGTACAGATACTCAAAAACTGTACTTGAGTACAATACTCAAGTAAATGTACTTAGTTACTGTCCACCTCTGTATTGGCAGTAGCAAGTCCCTGTACTTGCTTTCAGCAGCAGCAATAATCTGCAGCTACAGCAATAACCAACAGCAGCAGCAATTCAGCAGCAGCGTAGCAGATCTGTTCCGCCAATACCAAATACATTAACATTGTCATATCCATCACCATGCTAAAATCTCCAGAGAGTTCTCATGATAGAAATATATGGTAACACTTTTTTTAGGTTCTCTTAACTAGTTGGTTATTAGCATGTGTAGCGTCTGGACCACTCAAACACACAATATATATTTAGTTAGCTAGATTTAACAAATACTCTGTAACACCCCAGGAAGCCGAACAGGCCCCTGGTTCCATAGCAACACTGACACCAGATACATTTACGATCTAAAGGAATGTGAGCAGAAACGCTCACTGCATTTTCCAGAGCAAGAGGCACAATGCACCGTAGAAATTGACTTTCAGAGGCGGACAAAGTACTCAACTCCATTACTTGAGTGAAAGTACAGATACTGCTGGTCGAACATTACTCCATTACAAGTAAGAGTTGTAAAGACAGATTTTTACTTAAGTAAAAGTACAGAAGTACTTGCTTTTAAAAGTACTTAAGTACCAAAAGTAAATTTCCTTTTCTATGTCAATGCACTGTTTTATTGTTGTACGTAGTAGTACTTACAATACTTCTGAAGCAACTTAGAATACATTACACCTGCTGAATACACTGACTAGCTTGTAGTATGTTTGGAATAAAGAGCATTTAAAATGTTAAAAACCTATGGGGGAAAAAACAAAACACAAAAAATTGTTTAACACCCCTACCCACCCCCACAAAAGCAGGATGGTAGTGATCTCACACAGTTCTGACAGTGTGTGCACACATCTATGTGTAGCCATTCATCCACATTTGAACAGAGTGGACAGTGAAATCCTGTAAATACAGAGTGATAAGGAAGAACGAAAAATCAAACCTGCTTTAAAACCCAGCAACACAACTGTAGCTGTACAACTTTACAACAGCAACGCTGCTTTAACAAAAAAGCAAAACAGCAAGACTTATTTGACATCAAAACAAACATTTTAAATGCTGTCTAATCGCTCTCGCGGTACTTTGATGTCATACACAGAACAGTCTGTGCAGTGCTGCTTCAAGTCCAACACCTATTGTGTTTTATTAGGAGATGCACAGCAGTTCTTCTGTGGCTTTATATGTAATATTTTCACCTACACAATTTAGCAAAATCAGACAATATTGTGTCTAATATATACCACAAAATTAACTTCTTATTATTGAATTGTTGTAAATAAATATCACATTTGCAACTGGTCAGTGTTCAAAAAATGCTGGGAAATGCCTTCACATAGCCCTACAAGAGTGATTACTGATAAACTGTCTGAAAAAAAAAGAAAGTCACGTTTTAGAGAAGAAAAAAATCACCCACTGACTTTCAAAGCTACTACATAGTAACGACTTTCTACTTCGAGGACATTGATAGAAATGTAGTGGAGTGAAAAGTACAATAGTTGTCTTTCAAATGTAGTGAAGTTAAAGACATAAGTTTCCAGAAAAAATTATACTCAAGTAAAGTACAGATACTCAAAAACTGTACTTGAGTACAATACTCAAGTAAATGTACTTAGTTACTGTCCACCTCTGTATTGGCAGTAGCAAGTCCCTGTACTTGCTTTCAGCAGCAGCAATAATCTGCAGCTACAGCAATAACCAACAGCAGCAGCAATTCAGCAGCAGCGTAGCAGATCTGTTCCGCCAATACCAAATACATTAACATTGTCATATCCATCACCATGCTAAAATCTCCAGAGAGTTCTCATGATAGAAATATATGGTAACACTTTTTTTAGGTTCTCTTAACTAGTTGGTTATTAGCATGTGTAGCGTCTGGACCACTCAAACACACAATATATATTTAGTTAGCTAGATTTAACAAATACTCTGTAACACCCCAGGAAGCCGAACAGGCCCCTGGTTCCATAGCAACACTGACACCAGATACATTTACGATCTTAACTTGTTATGATTAATTATTCATATTTCCCATGAGCTGATTCGTTACACATGCATATTACTAGAATATTAGCCATTTATTAGTACTAATTAAGCACAAATTAATGCCTTATTCTACATGACCTTATTCTACATCCTTAATCCTACCCAATACCTAAAATGAACAACTACCTTACGAACTACAGTATTAATAAACAGCAAATTAGGGCAAATTTATTGAGGGAAAAGTCATAGTTAATAATGAATAAGGGTTCCCTATTCTAAAGAGTTACCAAATATATATATATTATATTGGGCCATTTTGGACTTTCTGCGCGAGAGCGCCCTCCGGCTTCGAGTATGAATGAAACATGCACTGCATGAGAGTGTTTAGTGCTCCATAATGTTCACATCGTCTCGTTTTGAATAAATCGTCCGGTCATACATAGACTATCTCGTTTATTCGCCCATGTGCTCACACAAGTTGGCACAACCAAAGCACGCGCACAGAAAAAGTTATTTCAAATGCATCTGATTGACCGATAAATCATGGTTGATCTATATATATCACAGCAAAGGGTCTGAATACGTAGGACCATGTGATATTTCAGTTTTTCTTTTTTAATAAATCTGCAAAAATGTCAACAATTCTGTGTTTTTCTGTCAATATGGGGTGCTATGTGTACATTAATGAGGAAAAAATAAACTTAAATGATTTTAGCAAATGGCTGCAATATAACAAAGAGTGAAAAATTTAAGGGGGTCTGAATACATTCCGTACCCACTGTATATATATAGTGGTCACACTTTATTTTAAGGTCCAGTTCTCTCTATTAACAAACCATTAACTATGACTTTTAGTAAAGTAGTTTTTAAGTTTAGGTATTGGGCAGGATTAGGGATGTAGAATATAATCATGCAGAATATGTGCTTTATTAGTACTAATAAACAGCCAATATGTTAATAATAGTCATGCTAATAAACAACTAGTTATTAGTGAGTTTTGTTCCCTATACTAAAGCGTTACCGTATGTGTGTGTGTGTGTGTGTGTATATATATATATATATATATATATATATACTGTATATATAATTAATGATTTGTTCTTTGATATTCTTTGGGTAAATGAATGCTTCTTGGACACACTCAATGTGGATCAGAGCGGTGCACTGGTGAATCTGGCTAATAATCATGGTAACACTGGTCTGCATGAGGCGGTGAGGGGGGGACACATCCAGCTGGTGGAGCTCCTGCTGCACAGAGGGGCTTTAGTGCACCTGCGCAACAAGAGGCAGCGGACGGCCCTCGACTGCGCTCACGAGACCGCCGGAAAGGTGTGTGTGTGTGTGTGTGTGTGTGTTTTCTTTCTTTCTTTTCAATTTAGAATCTATCTACTTTATATGTAGTTCTCATTAAGACAGGCTCTCAGTGAATAGAAAAAAAAAAAAACTTAAAGGGGTCATATGATGCTGCTAAAAAGAACATTATTTTGTGTATTTGGTGTAATGAAATGTGTTTATGCGGTTTAAAGTAAAAAAAAAAACATTATTTTCCACATACTGTACATTTATTGTTTCTCCTCTCTGCCCTGCCTTTTTGAAACGCGTCGATTTTTACAAAGCTCATCGGTCTGAAAAAGCGAGGTTTGCGCTGATTGGCCAGCTATCCAATGTGTTGTGATTGGCCGAATACCTCAAGCGTGAGACGGAAATGTTACGCCCCTCACATACTGTGATGCCCTGTCTGGCCGGAGCGACGAGACAAAAACATTAAAACCCATTATAAACGAGGCATTTGTTGCATCCAGTGGGGACATAATTAATGATTATAATAACTTATACTGTCTTTTTACGCGTTGCGTTGCATTGCATCGCGCTGCATGAACATAAAACCCTGTCTGCATTTGTGATCGGGGAAATGACAAACATCAAAAACAACAAAAATTCGCGTTTGAATCATCAGTGGCAAATGATAAATGAAAACGTACTTGCGTGAGTCAGAACTGCCGGCATTTTAGTCTAACGTTACTCTCCCAGGATCAGTAAACAGTTCTCCATAAAATGTGCCGGCGATCCACAGCACTAAGTTGAAGTATTTCCTCAGCGACCAGCACAGATCAGCTCCAGGCATGACGAAGCGGATATCGTCCTCTTTTGGAAGACCAAACAAAGTAGTTTCGCTTTCACAACGAAAAACACAGCGGCCTAGCGTGAGCGAAAGCCCCGGCTTAGCGTGAGCTGAAGCCGGGCAAGAGTGAGCTGAGGCGGCGGGGTCGAGAACGGCGGTCCCGGCGAAGGAGCGGTGAAAGCCGATCCGGCGATCCACAGCACTAAAATTATGTATTTCCTCAGCGACCAGCACGGATCAGCTCCAGGCATGACGACGCGGATATCGTCCTCTTTTGGAAGACCAAACAAAGTAGTTTCGCTTTCACAACGAAGCACACAGCGTCTTCAGGACATGGCGGCAGCAACAATACTACAGCGAGAATAAAAGTTACGCCTTCTTTCTTTGCGTGAACATTTGGGCGGCGTTATGCACATCTTCCCACATAGTGAGGTAGATATGTGGGGGCGTGTTCGAACAAGCCGTTTTAGGTAGGTGTGGCTGACTCTTAACTTTTATAAAGAATATCTCTTTGGATTTGAGACTTTAGTCTTTGCATCTTTACTGATCTTCTTTATGCACCAAGAGCTTGTAACACTCCAAAGAGAAAGGAAAAAATGAAAGCGCATCATATGACCCCTTTAAAACATGATCTCAGGAGTGTTTCTGAACGTCATGTTTTTTCTTTGTTTTTATGCTTTCTCAGAACACAGAGATTCAGAGACTCCTGCAGAAAGCCTGTGCTGACGCCCTGGACATTCATCCAATCAAACCACACTCCAGAGGAACAGAGGGCATTGTGGGTAAGAATCAGAGAACGATATTTGTACACTTTTATTTCATCTCCAGAAACGCTGTAGTAGGCTGTGATGTATAGCATAGTAAGTATTACGTGATATGCATAATGCTATGAATTTCAGTTATGCAATTAAACTGAACTCTGTTATTTCTCCAACAGCACAATCAACAATTCAAAGAGTTAAACGGCAAGAGAATAGCAACAGTGGCAGAAAAGACTTAGAGCATACGAAACAAAGGTACATTTACTGTCAATTAATAGCTTGTTTATTACCTTAATATCAAGCGATATCGTCGACTTGATTGCACAGATACTATTTAACCTGAACTGAACTGGACGATGACCTCACTGAATTCAATGATGAATGATGATGTTTACTATTGTCCTTTTGCATTGACACACTATTTTCCTATTTAATACTGTAAAGCTGCTTTGACACAATCTGTATTGTTAAAAGCGCTATTTAAATAAAGGTGACTTGACTTGATTTGACATAACATTGAGAAAAATATGTTCTCTCTGAAGATTTTTAAATGTTTTTTAGGGATGCACCGATATGAAAATTTTGGCCGATACCGATAACCGATTATTCTTTATTTTTGAAAGCCGATAACCGATATGTTGGCCGATAAATCTATATCCAAATTGTTATATACTTTTTGAGAGCCTGATTACAAAAAAGGTCTCATCATTAAAAGCCACATCCCAAACACTTCAACATAAGCAGCCTAGTTTGAACGGTGTACGTTTTAAAAATATTTTTACTCTCCCATTACCAAATTTAGTCATAAAAAAGTCTTACAAATAAATAAAATTATGCATAAATAATGCAAACAAGTCACTGGACATCATTACACGTGTAAAGAATCAAAATGAATGCGCCATAGATCAATAAAATGGAATAGCCTCTGCACGGACAATAATTAAATGATTTTAATTACTAAACCATATTGTTGATGAAAATAATAAGAGAAAAATACAAGTGGCTGTTGTTATTAATAAT